GGTTCACAGATAAAATGAGATTTTGTACTAATTGATTAATATTAAATTGCATTTTTTCTTTGTATTTCTCATTTTTCTAGTGGATACCTTGCACTTTTTATATTAAATTGCTTATTATTAAATAGCTATAGCATAAAATTAAAATACATTTTTTTTTAGTAAATTATTATTTCAAAAAATGTTAGTTATTTAATATTACGAGATGAACGAATCTAAAAAAATATCAAAATGTACAGTGCTATTGGAATAATATAAATTACCATACTACCCATAGTAAAATATATTGATCAAAGATTATAATACTAAAATTATTAGCTTCCTCACGTTCAAATTTGTTTTTATTTTAAACGCACATTCAACAAAAAATACTTTTTATTTAACCCTTTTCTTATAAAACTAACATAATAATATAATATTTTCAAATATTTATTCGCTTTCAAAGAAATATTTTTCCCATTAGAAATAATATTCTCAGATTTATTTAAATAGATTTAAAAAAAGTTGGGATTTTAATTGTTATTAAAAAAAGTTTTCCTAATTTTCCAGATTTTCCGATGGAAATTATCTTATTATATTATAGCCCGAGAGCCAGCGACTTTTTTGATGACCAAAAGAGCAAAAGCTGAAAAGTTTTCCTACGCTTCATTTGGTGTCACTCACTAGTAAGAGAATCGTCCTCCAGCTCGCGCACTTCCGGGGGGTATAGTTGCGGCAGCCTCCCAAACACGTAAAATAATAAAATAAAAAACTAATACTGAAAAAGCTGAGACTTTGTCGACAAGTTAATTATGTTATAAACAAAAGAAAAAACGCAATCCGCTGACTTTAGAGTGGGGGGTTATGCAACAGCTTTTCACCTAAACAAGTCAAAAATATGCGCTAGGTAAACTGATACCGCAAAAGCTGAAATTTGGTAAAGTAATAGTCAACTTAACCAGTTATACGACAAAATGGTCCGCTGAAGTTTTTGTGGTGTATAAGTGCTCAGCTGACGAGTTGAAGGTGCAGCACGTCGCTATACGCGCGGGCGCGTTGCATCTTTAACTTTATCAGCTGAGCACTTTTCCCTCATTAAATATAAAGCTGAGTATTTTTTTCATTTAACTTATTAAACTAGCTATTGTATTAACAAATTTCAGCTTTTGCGGTATGACATATCTATAATTTTTCCATTTTTTAAGTCTTAGTAGCAATTATATAAAAATATACAACTTTTTTCGAATATTTATTATATATATCTCATACAGCAAAAGCTGAAATTTGTTAATACAATAGCTAATTTAATAAGTTAAATGAAAAAATACTCAGCTTTATATTTAGTGAGGGAAAAGTACACCACAAAAACATCAGCAGACCATTTTTTTCGTATAACTGGTCAAGTTGACTATTACTTTACCAAATTTCAGCTTTTGCGGTATGAGTTTACTTAGCGCATATTTTTGACTTGTTTAGGTGAAAAGCTGAGGCATAACCCCCCACTCTAAAGTCACGGATTGCGTTTTTTCTTTTGTTTATAACATAATTAACTTGTCGACAAAGTCTCAGCTTTTGCGGTATTAGTTTTTTTATTTTATTATTTTACGTGTTTGGGAGGTTGCCGCAGCTACACCCCCCGGAACTGCGCGGGCTGGAGGTCGATTTACTTACTAGTGATACCAAATGAAGCGTAGGAAAAATTTTCAGCTTTTGCCAAATGACTAACTCAAAACGGTTGCTGGCTCTCGGGCTATTACTTCGTGATTGTGTACAAAGGATTTTAAATCAAGTAAGTGTGCAGAAATTTTTTGGAGTATGTTTATCTAAATAGAAAAGTGTAAAAAGAAGATGCAATTTCTTAACAATATAATATTTTTTTTTTGTTTTCTTGTCGGACTGGCGCCTTAACCCGATGCTTTTCTCAGACTTTACTACTTTTCGTTCTAAAATACATTATTCCATCATGTATTACTTTTGTACGACATACATACATACATACATAAGGAAACATAATCTGGTCATTTTGACATTTTTGGGGCGTCGGACTACTCGTACGCTGCATGATTTTTATCGGACAAGTTGACCACAGTTTGTTTCGTTACGCAAAATAGAACTTGCATGTATAAGGATACATATTGACGCCATTTTGACATTTTGGGGATGCTGGACAAATGGGAAAGCGGCATGATTTTTGTCGGACAAATAGTTTTTTAATTATTTTGTCATAAAAACTGACCATTCCGATAAAAAAGAAAATTGCATATATCGCATTGTAGCATAGCGTCAGAACGACAATTCCCGGAATCTCTCGTTCAAAAACGACGCGACGCCGAAAATTTTCGAAGAGGAAAATTTTGTCGGACTCGTTATAAAAAAGGGACTTGCAAAATTTGGCACGTTTCGTTTCAATTTACGTTTTTCGTTTAACGGCGCTAATAAAATAAATTAAACAATAAGGACGATTCGTGCAAAATGTTTTAACATCTTACCAAACGATTGTAATGCATCCACTATGTATATTTAACACTAAACTAACCTTGTGTCCCCTAAATATAAGTTTCCAATGTTCCTATCAATATCTCTCTGTCTCTCTCACACACACAGTTGTACAATGTTGCCAGTTGTTGGAACTTCGTGACTCAAATATGGGACTTTCTCGAAAGTTTTCTAGTTGAACTCCGTATTTGGGATATAACTACCTTAACGGTGTCCTATGCAAAGCATGTCGAAGCCTTTATCAAGTCGTGCTCAAGAAACGGTGGTGTGCTTAGTAGACTAATTTGAACAGGAACGTGAACCTGGAGGGCCACTTCTTCCACTTACCGCTGTAAGAAACGTAAATTGTAATTACGAATTGTATTTTAAATATTGTTAACAATATTTAAACTGTATGTCAAAAATTTTGGGTTACGTCTGATAAAATTGCAAGTCATATACTAAATTCTAAATATAAATTAATTTTTTGACCTTCCTAAATTATTTAAATCGACTGAGTAATTTGTAGTTATAGGTTACATTTCTAATAAACTGGATTTGCTATCAAAAAATCATTTCCTTAATTATCCTAAAAAAATGTTCAACCTGGCAACAATTATTTTTAAAAGTATTTGTATGTTCTTGTGCTTTCAATTATTTTGTTATGGACAGAGTAAGTAACATACTTAATTGTAAATCAATATTTCTCCAACCTATCGAAGTAGTATAAGAGTATCTTTTCATTGTAAAATTGTCCAGAATTACAATTTTTTTCTTAAATTTTTGGAAGATCCGCATACAAACAAGTTACAACAATATTTATCCAAAACTCTCCCATTTTGAGACGCCTCTGACTAAAATTAAAAAGATACGCTAGTTCGGAATATTATAGCAACAGGCAACTCCAAATCTAATTATTTCATCTTGAATGGGGGTATCTAGAAAATACAACTTTTAGGGATGCATATTTATTGCATCTTTCTATCACGCGAGCTCGCTATGGGACCTATAGTGTAGGGGGTTAGGTGCATGGGAAAGTGCTAGATAACATCACGCTGTTGTACTATCTAGCACTTTCCGTGCATCTAACCCCCTATGCTATAGGTCCCATAACGACTCGCACTTGTGATAGAAAATAGTATGAGCAACTCGTTCGGAAAAGTTGACATAGCGCCACTTGGGCGCGTGGCGCTATTGGCAACTTTTCTCCACTCGTTACACAATGTACTATTATGAGACTGTTAGCTCTATACAGGGTGAGTCAGAAAGAATGGGTCAATACTAAACTGGATATACTAGACATCAAAATATTATGTTTGAGCTCATCATGTCTTATACGAATGTCGCTGGTTTAAGAAATACAGGGTGCTCAAGGTTTCAATTTTATTCTGAAATTTCTCAATAACTGAGAAAGTTTTGATAGCATGACTCTGAAACTAGGTAGTATTAGATTTTTTGGTGTGAGAATTACGAATTTGAAGCTTATTTTGACGTTGCTCCTAGAGGGCGCTAGTTTCACCATATTATTTAGGTAAATCAGAACATATTTTTTATCTATCGAGCTATGCTTTAAAAAAGTTAAAAATCTAAAAGAACGTACAATTCTACATAAAATATGTACTCTTGTTTAGGTCCCCTAACTTTATCGGTTTCTGAGTTATTTGCATTTAAAAGTTTCAATATATTTTGTGGTCTTTCAGGCCCTGATATTAATATTTCTTTTCTAAGTAGGCTTGTGTAAAATTTTCATGTCAATAAATATTAACGTATTTTGCGTGCGTCTGATTTATTATTCGTGCAAAATTATTAGCTAGTGATAAAAAAATGCCATGATATAATAATTTTTCAGTGAGATACATATGATTTGTGTTTTTGTTCAGGCTAATTTTAATGAAAATGCGGCGGCCCGAAGATATGTCCAATTGTACCCAAATAGATTACCTAATTATAAACTATTCAGAAATCTTTACAATCGCTTAGGCGGATCTAGATCTTTTCGACAAAAAAGTAACCATGGTACTCCAAAATCTATCATAGTCGATGAAGAAGAGAAAATTTTACTACTTGTACTCATCGGTTAAGTGCGGCAACGTCCATTTGTAGAATTTTGAAAAAAGAAATGCTCCATCCTGTCCATCCATGTCATTATACTCCGGTTCAGCAGTTATTGTCTCAAGATTTACCAACTCGCCTACAATTTGCTCAGTTTATACAAAATATGTAAACGGAAAACCCAGATTTCCTCAATAAGATTTCATTTACTGATAAGACGACATTTATCTACTAGACGAGGAGTTGTCAATTGGAAGAACAATCATTGTGAGATTCCGCATGCTGTAAAAGAATGACATTTTCAGCATGAATTCAATGTATGGTTTAATTTCTGTTTTTTTTTTCATAGGACCTTTTGAATTGCCACCCAATCTAACTGGACCTCATTATTTAAACTTTCTTCAACATAATTTAAACGAGCTTCTAGATGATGTACCACTCGTTTTAAGAGAGAGTATGTCGTTTATGCACGACGGTGTACCACCATATTTTGCCTTACCAGTACGCCAGTATTTAAATGAACATTTTCCTCATCAGCGGATTGGCCACTTAGTTGGCCACCAAGAAGTCCTGACTTAAACCCTCTGGTCTTCTCAGTGTGGTCAAACTTGAAGGATGTGATATATCGTGAAGAAATTAATTCTGTTGAGAAGTTGCGGCAGAAACTACAAGTAACCGCAAATGCATTGAAAAATAATAGGGACATTTTGTTTAATATTCAGAGACATTTAAGAGTGTATAATAAAATGTATTGAGGTAGGTGGTGTACACTTCTAGCATTTGATTTACGGTTTGTTATTATTACTATTATCAATAATTGTTATTGTTATTTTCATCTTTTGAGAATAAAAATCACTACAAAATACAATGAAACTTTTAAATGCAAATAATTCAGAAACCAATAAAGTTAGGCGACTTAAACAAGAGTAATTTTTTTATGTAGAATTGAACGTTCTTTTAGATTATTAGCTTTTTCTAAGCATAGCTCAACAGATTAAACAAATATGTTCTGATTCACCTAAATAATACGGCGAAACTAGCGCCCTCTAGGAGCAACGTCAAAATAAGCTTCAAATTCGTAATTCTCATACTAAAAAACCCAACACCAATTTTCAGAGTCATGCTATCAAAACTTTCTGAATTATGGAGAAATTTCAGAATAAAATTTAAACTTGAACACCCTGTATTTCTTAAAGCAGGACATTCGTATAAG